ATGATCGATGACCGGCTAAACTTCAATAGCCACTTCGACTACGCATGTGAGAAGGCGGCGAAGGCCATCAATGCGATAGCCAGAATCATGCCTAACAATTCTGGACCAAGCAGCAGCAAGAGGCGTCTTCTGGCTAGTGTATCGTCGTCGATACTGAGGTATGAAGATCCAGCCTGGGATGCTGCGTTGAAAACGAAGAAGAACCAAAGAAAATTGAACAGTACGTTCCGCCTCATGGCCATGCGAGTCGTGAGTGCGTACAGAACAATTTCGACGGAAGCAGTATGCGTTATCGCCGGAATGATACCCATCGTCATCACCTTGGCGGAGGACACCGAATGCTATATGTGAAGAGATACCAGAGGAGTACGAAAAATGATGAGAACGGAGTCGATGGTTAAGTGGCAACAGGAGTGGGATGCAGCGGAGAACGGTAGATGGACACACAGGCTAATACCGATTCTTTCGACCTGGGTGAACAGGAAGCATGGAGAAGTCAACTTCCACTTGACGCAGTTCCTGTCTGGTCATGGCTGCTTCAGGAAGTACCTGCATCGCTTTGGACACACAACGACACCCCTCTGTCCGGAGTGTGGCAACGTAGACGAAACGCCGGAGCACGTGGTTTTCGACTGCCCAAGATTTGAGGCAGTGCGAGTGGAGATGCCGGCCCTTAGCGCGAGAAATATCGTCAGTAAAATGTGCCGGGATGAGAGGACGTGGAGCGTCGTCAGCAGGGCAGTGACGCAAATTTTGTCGGAGCTGCAGCGAAAATGGAGAGATGATCAGCGAGTTAGCAGTGGATAGTGGCTAGAGGCGAGTAAGGTTTTAGTGGTTAAGAGTCCCACACTGTGCCAGAAGGAGAACAAACACGCAACACAGTGACAGGCCGGGCTTTTAAAGCTTTCTTTACTATAAAAAAATAGATACGAACAAAAATTTTAGTTTTCCCATATTAGTTTCCATATAAACTTCAAATGGTTTGTGCCAAGTCAGTCTCTTTTTTTTTCTCTCTGTTCGGGACATAACACCACTGCGACCAGTAATTTGATCTATTGTAGTACATCCCGTGTCCTTAGTTTAGTGCAAGTCGTATTACTCCATCACTATTGAGAAATGATGAAGTATTCGATTTTTTTACAGTTGCAACTCTTGCATTTATCGCAAAGATCCGACTCTAATTGAAAGGTCCCGCTATTTATACCTTTCGGAGTGTTGGAACACCCTCCAAAGGTGCGCCCCTTTGTCAGTCAAAATTGGATTCCTTAACAACAAAAACAAGTTATGACACCGATAATGACCATGCATCAGAACCCTAGTCTTAACCACTTCAAACTAGGGAACAACGATTAGAATATTAGGAATCACATAGGTGAAGACTAACTAACTCATTTTTTCCTTGTTTCAAGATCATCCATGGTCCAGGCAACCCGAGGACTTATCACTATCAACAAGGCATAAAAAGTAACAAGGACTAAGATGTGTTCCTTTGATTACTGAAAAATCCTGTTCCCCTAGTTTGAAGAAGTTAGGACTAGGAATCGGTGGTAGATCTTACATCCCGTAACGTACCACGAAAAGGTGATCTACCCACGTTACGGACAAGTCAGTCTCTTACAAAATGGGTTCAAATTTTGGGAGGCTAATCAGGACCCAATTCGGAACCGTTTGAGCACTGTGGAGCGAAAATTTCAAATTTTGCATCAGTCTAATGCCCACAGACCATTACTTAATCTTCTCGGATAGTCTCATTCCGTTGATGAAAGAAGGAAGCGCTCATCTTATTTCCTTTCAAAGGTAAGGGAGCAGATGAGTTTGCTGGTCGAAAGATCATATATGATTACCTTTGTATGGGTCCCCTCGCATTGCTCAATCCCAGGCAATGAGAAGGCAGACTCTCTCGCAAAGGTGGGCAGACAACAAGGCGAGATTTGTGATAGAAGAATTTCACATGATGAATGTTTTCCCAATAGTACGTCAGAGTTCTCTTCTAAGTTGGCAAAACGATTGAATAAGTAATTCCCTTGGGCGGTGGTTGCATTCCATTATTCCAAATATTTCTTCGAGAGCGTGGTTCAAAAGTCTGGATTCATTCGCGTGATGTCAAGACTTATTTCCAACCACTACTCGCTAGACGTACATCTCTACAGAATAAACATCGTTGACAGCAATATATGTATGTAGGTGCAGAACTATTTATGATGACATCGATCACGCTGTTTGTTATTGCCCGGGTGTGGCCCAAGGTAGACAACCCTTCCGTGAAGTAAGAGATGTATTGGGAACCCGTGATCTTCCCTACATGCAGGCGATCTACGAATTCCTTTGTTTGTCTGATGTTAGAGTTTGGTGTGACCATCCCCTCGTTTCCACACATTTTCCAGCCATTGTGTCCCTGTCTTATTATCCACTTGTTTCTGTGCTACTTGCCCCTGCCCAGGCCGCATTTAGTCAACTCTTTCAGATACCTGTTTCCTACCTAGCTCTTTCCAATCGAAATTGTTACCCATTATTTGGTACCCAATACTAAACTAGATTTACTGCTGTTTAAAATGTTATTTAAAAAATTAGGATTTTTGGCTCCGTAAAGTGTCACACACGACTGAGCCTAGTAACTAAACGAACTTGTTAAAAAATATATAGGCATACTACATGTGAAAAAAAGCTGAACATCTAATTCTTTCACACCACTTTAAGCCAAAGTAAAAAAAAGGCATCAACACTACCCATTGCTCAAACCACAAGGATAAATTAAAAACCCATAAAAATTAATTTGTACCAACAACTGAAACAAATGATTTCGGCACTTCTGGCGCCTTGTTAAACATCGCCGTCCAGCCCTCCAGCCAGGCAACCAACCAGAGCAGATCTTCGTTTAGGAACGAGATCACCACTCGCACGCCAAGGATTCCTCCTCGGTTTTGGATGCGCTCGTACAAGGAAAGTGCCCGCGAGGGGTGGGCGTTACAACGATAATTCGTTTTTTCGGTGTTATTTTTCCGAGTTTGAAATTAGAGCTTGTTCGGTGATGTCCGTTCTGAATGTTCACTCAATTTCAAGCACAAGGCCGCGGGAACACAGTTTAGCATAAAGCATGAATAAATTAACTACTAGAGTTTGTTTTCGGCTACTTCAGGCGTGGAAAGAACCCTCGAGGATATGCGCTTGTGCTGCCGAGCAGAAGTGCCTTTCGATCATTTGCACTAATTTATTATGAAGTTGTGAGCATTGGTCCAGCGGCGATGAAGGCGAAACAAAAGAGGGTCGTAAAAACTGTTGTTACATTTTAAACTTTGGCTAATAAAAGTGAGCCCCTTTGGGAGAGGGACGGCATATGGTCGATGGGAATGCCACCTAGGTGGCAGCGAGCATAAATTTATATCCTTCCACGGAAAATTGTTAATATTCGGGACCAAATGTGCACTTTCGAGTTTTGAAAACCTCGAAATTTACCGATTATCAGAATGGTTTATCGTACGGTCTATGGTCCCACCGCTGGCTGAACAAGAAATTAAATTAGTAACAGCTCCACCCCTTCATTAGGGTCTTCAGGGCGAATTGGTCTTTGTTGTTGTGCGAGGGAAATGCTATCCTTCGTCACATTCGGAAGGGCATGTGTGGCCAATGTACCGCGCTGTCGATCGATGACCACAAAGCCCGCAACCGGGATTTGAAGATTTGTCGATTTACGACTCCGGCCCGATCCTTTTTGATCTCTCCGGGTACACAAAGGCAAGAAAGGAGGCGTCCACCCCGGCCATATGAATGCAACTAAATAAAAGTGGTTCTGCCGGATTCGAGAAACACTTAAAACGCGTATCTAATTTGACAGATCTTCCCCTAGTCTTTGTTTTGGGCCTGCCGGTGGTGATGCTTCTTGGTTCCCGATGCCGGGCAGTTCCTTTCTTAACTAGATCGTAAAATAAATTGAACACTTCGGTTTTTACGATTGCTGGGCTGTGAAGTGTGTGCACTGTGCTTGGCGGGTTCGTGAGTGGTTTGCCCTTTATCGGAGCGAAATCTGCGGGTTGATGATCGCCCAGGAGTGGCCGGGAAGATTTTGCGTTCCTGGAAGCTGTTGAAAGGCTGAAAATTGCTTATTTAGGCTTAATTTTACGATGATGAAGTGCGTCGTCGTCGGCAGGCAATCCTTTTGTGCTGCAGCTGTCAGAGTTCACAGAAGTCAATTCGAGAGTTTGTTAAAAAAAATGTGAGCTGCACGTTCAATGAACATTGGAATTATGTTTTCTTACCAGTATTTGCAAATTTTATTTAGACTTTGGACTGAACGAATGGCTGGATTAATCGATCAAATGGCACAAACAGCATTGGATTGAATAAGGATTTGGGATTTAAATGAACGATGACATTTACAGGGTTGCTAGACTTTTTCATTTTCTTTTATTTAACGTCGGTTTCTGGTGCAATCTAGTGCCAATCACCACCGGACATCGATTACCATCGAATGTGCAGGAAAGCAGTTTCCACACCTGCGTAGAATATTGCACCCATTCAACACACATGGGCCAGGACCAACGGCTTTATTTCCCTTCAAAAGGAAGACGTGACCAGAGATTTTTATGCCTTGGAAAAATCCCGCCAAGCTCGGCTAACCACGCTTACCACTACACCTCCGGCGCCGGCTATGGATTCCTAGACTTGTTAAGACAAATTGAAACAGATTTAACCCAACAATATTTAATTTTAACCACCCGAAAATATACATTATTCCGATTGTTCAGATACAACCCACATTAATTGCTCAAGCGGTGACACGTGCCTTTGCCATTCAAGGATACAAGGTGTCTCATATTTCTGAAAAAATCACCGTAGCCTGCTGTCAAAATTAAACTAACTTCAATGGATGGTGATGATGATGATGAAGTTTGAGTTGGACGATTTATCTTTAAGATAATTAAATATGACATTTTAACCAGGTTAGTAAACAAAATCGAACTGGCTACACTTACAGATATAAATTCCCTCTAGAGTTTACAGTTGCCGCACAGCGATATAAATGTGAAAAAGCTCAGGCGTCACCCTCTTAGTTCGCCTTTTTATCCACCTAAATCTTCATAAATGTTACAAGCAATCAAGAGTTACTGAACAATCAACAAAGCATCCTATTACACTTGCAACCCCGCAATCTGATGCTATCATAATTTTCAGCAATGTCAGGAATGCTCACGAACCCCCAACATTTTCCAGAAAACTTACTACTAACTCAAAGTATCTTCCAAATAAGCTTCAAAATTGCATTTTTTTTTATCAAAATTTAAATTGAAACCTTTGTAGACAACTAAAAAAAATTGTTTTACTAATATGTACTATTAAATCAAATATCAAAAATC